GGGGAATAGAGGGGGAATTGGGGAGCAGGGATGGGGTGGGGAAATAGGGATGGGGGAATAGAGGGGGAATTAGGGAGTAGGGATGGGGTGAGGAAATAGGGATGGGGGAATAGAGGGGGAATTAGGGAGTAGGGATGGGGAATGGGGAATAGAGCAGGAATTCAGGAATGGGGATGGAGAAATGGGGGGAATAGAGGGGGAATTCGGGAATGGGGGAGTAGAAGGGGAATTGGGGAGTAGGGATGGGGAATAGAGGGGGAATTCAGGAATGGGAGTGGGGAAATGGGGGAATAGAGGGGGGACGGGAAAAGGAATGGGATGGGGAAATGGGGGAATAGGGGGGGAATGGGGGAATAGAGGGAGAACATGGGAAAAGGAATGGGATGGGGGAATAGGGGGGAATTCAGGAATAGGGATGGGGTGGGGGAATGGGGGAATAGAGGGGGAATTCAGGAATAGGGATGGGAAAACAGGGGAATAGAGGGAATGGGGGAAAAGGAATGGAATGGGGGAATAGAGGGGAAATGAGGGAAAAGGAATGGGAGAATAGAGGATAATAATGGGGGAATTGAGCAGAATAAGAGCAGGATGTGGGGGGAAAGGGTGATGGGGGATACCTGAGGAACAGCATAGGGGCAAATAGAGGTGGAATGGGAGGAATTGGGGTGCCTAGGGCTGTCCTGGGATGAAAAGGGACAAATAGGATCCCTTTAGGGATGAATAGGTGATCTCAGGGGTGGAACAGGGGCAACATGCAGGGTAGCAGGAGGGTGACAGGGTGCCTGGGGGTGAATAGGGGCTCTCACAGTGGCATGGAGGATGTATGGGGGGACACAGAGGGAGCACAGGGATGCCTGAAAGTAGCATAGGAATAAAGGAGTCTTAATTTGGGGTAAACACCACTACAGGCGGGGGCAGTGCCTGTTCCATCTCCAGAAAAGGGACAGCACCTTCTCACTGTCTACAACTCCCTGATGGGAGGGTGCCAGGTGGGGAATGGACTCTTCTCCCAAGTGCCAACACAAAGGAAAAAGCCCCAGGTTGTGACAGGGTTAGATGTTCGAAAAGATTTATTGACTGCTCAAGCAGTCCCCACTCCTGAGAATGTTCCAGGGAGCAGAGGTGGCACTAAAGGGGTAGAAGCTGATGGAAGTCAGTGGGAGATTGTGGAGGTCTTTCCCAGCCTCAATGATCCTCCACCTGCTCCTCTGGGGAAGGTTTTAATTAGAAAAACTACTTTTTTTTGTGCATGACAGGAGGGAGGTTGAGCTGCCCTGAGGAAGGACAGCATCATCATGCCCCTTTCACTGGTGTCCCATCCCATCCCCCTGGGAGGAGGGGATGCCTGCACTGCCCCCCAGCTGGAATTGCCCCAGAGCTGCTGCCTGTGCCTGGGGCTGGCAGGGGAGGGCAGCGCCCCAGGCCAGGCAAGCAGCTGCCTGCAGGTCGCTCACACACCCACACAGAGCCTTGGTGATCCCCAGGCACTGGGCCCAGTTCTTCAGCTGCCAGGGGAGACAGCAGGCACGTCCCAACACTCTTTTTAGGAGGGGCATGTTGTCCTGGCCTCTGCCTTCAGGACAATATTTTGTTAAGTTACAGACACAAGGATGGAAAGGAACAGCTCTGGGCCCCTGGCTCTGTGTAACACCACCCACCACAGATTTATGTCCAGCACATGCCAGAAAAAGAAACCAAGATATTTCCTATTTCTCTCTTAATCAGATCATCAGCAAAGAGCAGCCCTGCCTGGGCCATGGGAAAAGCCAACAGGGCTGGTCCACAGAGGACCAAAATCCAAACTCGGGGCAGGCACACAGGCCCTAGCTCTGTGTCTGAGGAAAGAGCTTCCTCACATTCCTTGTGCCCAGGGAGCTGTGGCCATTCCCAGGTGCCCCATCAGCAGTGGGAAGCCCACAGAGCCCAGGCAGCAGCAGCCCTGGCTCAGGTGCATGTTCAGGCAGTGCTGTATCATGTCTAAGTCCATAGTTCTGGATGTAAGAAGCACTTTGCATTTCATCAGATCCCAGTATTTGAATATTAAATAAATGATACTAAGCCCTGTTACCCATAAGCGGGGCTGCCCAGCTCCTCCCAGAGAACACATTTACTACCAACTCCCTTTTCCCTGGGTGGCCTGCAGGAGAAATGCATAAATCCTCTGATGAACAGATCCAGGGAAGAGGAAGAGCCTCTGTTTCCTGAAGAGGAGATTTCCCCTCCAGATTAAGCTGTCACATCACCTCCCACTGCCCCTGAGGCAGCAGAGCCCTGAGCCCACCCAGGGACACTTTGAAGAGCCAAACCCCCAAAGCAGGGAGGGAAAGCTGCTCCCTCACCTTGCCTTCAGCAAAGCCTTTGAGCTGCTTCAAGCTCTGGGTAGCAAAGGATTGGGGAAGGGTCTGCTGGGAACCACCAACACTGCAAGGATGGAGCAGTGGCCAGCAGCTCATTGAGAACCCACAGCACAAAACCTTTGTGCCATGGGCTCAACTCCATCCTCACCTTCTGCTGGAGACCACACTTGGAGGGCTTAGAGAGAAGGAGAACAAGAGCCAGGGACACACCACGGAAACCTGAAATACAGGTCCTTGGAATTAAAGAGCAGAGCCAGATCGATGGGCTGCAGGCTGATGGATGGCAACAGGGAAGCTGCAGCAGAGGTGAATCATTGCCCCTGCACTGCCTCCAACAACCTCCCTTCCAAAGGAGCAGCATCTACTCAGCAGCTCCCACATCCACATCTTCCAGGTGAAGTAACACAGCAAGGCCACTGATCCACCTGGGCCTGGCTCAGCTCCTTTCCCACAGCAATGATGGTGCCTGCAGAAAGGTGAAACATCTCTCAAACAGTTTTTTAGAGCTACTTCAGCCACTCCAAGTCAAGTCTAGAAGTTTCAGAACAAAGATCAGATGGCAGCATGCTGCTCTCCTACAGCTCAGAAGAAAGATCCCACCCAGAAAACTTGATCAGGGGCTCCAAAACACTCCTGCAAGACCTTAAGATGCTACTGGAAAAAAAAAAAACAAAACAAGCCATGTCATTTGCAACAGCAGCTTAAAGAAGGGGGGAAATAATTAAAGGCAAAAGGAACAAAGCCAAAAAGTGCAATTTATTGACAAGTTTCAGAAGTAAAAAGGCTCAACATCTCTACTCCTGACAATTTGGATGTCTGAGCTCTTCCAAAGTACCTCCACCCACCAGTTTAGAGCTGTGTCATGCTTCATCTTCAGAAGTTGAAGTCTTGTTTCTCCACTGAGAAATCATACAGCCCATCTTGGCCAGTCTGGGGCTCCAGGTTTATGCTCTCCTAGGAGGAAAATGACAGAAATTACTTATAGTGTCTGCATTTGAATAAACCTAAGCTTTTTACAGCAACTCTGTTTTATTCTTGCTTTAAAAATCCTGTTAATCTCAGTTTGACTGTAACAGAACTCCTGCTCCTTGCAGCACCCTAAAGCTGCAGTGTCCCTGCAGCCCACACAAAAGCAGCCAAGCCTTTGGGCTCAGACACCAGAAGCAAAAGGAAATAAAAGTGGCTGCAGTGGTAGAGCTCACTGAAATTAAATGGCCTGCTTGGAACAGCAACAAGCCAGGACTGCTCAGGGGGATGTTCCCCTGGAATCCAGCCCCTCCAGCAGGAGCTGGTGTGGAGAATTTCCTCCACAGCCTCTCACAGGGACACCCCACAGACCCTGCTCTGGCAAAGGACTAAACCAGACCTTTGCCCCCTGCTGCAGCTCACACCCAAAGTGAGTTCCAAGGTCTGCCAGGCCTCTGAGCCTCTTCCCTGATGATTTCCCATCTGCAAGTCTAAGGCTGGGACCAAACATGGCTCCTGTGACAGTCACTGGACCCTTGCAGCTCCTAGCTGGTGTCCTATCTTCTTTTTCCATAGATTCTTTACCATGAGAAGGGTCAAGTAATCCAAATGCAACCTGAGCACTGTTATCAGCTGAGTAGGAGGCTGCCATTCATAGTGACAAGCCAGCTCAGCTCTGAAGGAGGAAACCTCTCCACATTTGGTATTCATATCAGTAACTGCAGTAACTCCAGCTGATGCCAGTTTAAATTCCAGCAGCAAGATGCTATCAAGGCATCCATGTCTGCTGCCCAACTCATTGGCTGACAACTCGGAGCTTTTACAGACCTTTAAAAACACCTGAAAGAAGCTGCAAGGACTACTCTGGTCATGTGGAAGTCTCCTCCAAAAAAACCTCTTCCAGTATCCTTAAACTCAGTGCTTCATTCCAGTGTGTAATAACTTCACATTTTCAGCTGAGAAACAGCAAGGGCTCACATACCTCACCAGAAAAGTATTTCTCTATAATGTCCAGGGCAGCTCTGTAGACCATGGAATTCTCATGGTTTTGCAAGTGCTCAATTTTCTCCAGACCATCAAGTTCTTCCACCAGCAGACACAACTTCTCTGTTTCTCCCAACTTCTCAGCTGTCTGTAACATTGGAAAGCCAGGCAAGAAAACAGAACATCAGTAACAGGTCTGAGATGCTTTTTCTGTAATTACAATCCTGATCTACAAGTCAAAGGCTCACAGTCCCTGAATTTATGGTCCCTTCCTGATGCCAGGTATGTGACTGTGGTGCCTGTGGAATACCAGTCTCTGCTGGGGGCTGCCAGCCAAACCAGTGAGCAGAGGATGAAGAGCAGCACTGGGAACTCAATCTTGCCATGCCCTTTAGACAACCTATGGGTACTCAAGACAAAGTCCCTCTTACTCCAAAAATCAAATCATTGTTCTCACCACACAATGTGAGCATTTGGCTCACTCCTTGCTGCTCTTTGGGAGAAGGAAATCAAAAGATGAGACCTTATCAGGAAGGGATTAAAAAACAGCATCCAGGATGAACAGATCTCACCAGGAAGAGATTTGAAAGGGTGTCCAGGATGATCAGGATGGTTTTGCTGTCTTTGACCAAAAGCAGGTTGAGCAGAGGTTTGAGGACCCCGGAACGGACGAGCTCCACCACCTGATCCACTGTTGCTCCAGTTGTGAAGTTGGCCACTACCCACACAGCCTCCTTCTGAGCCTTGAAATCACCCTGGAAAAGCAGCACAGCAAAGGCATTCCCAAGCTTTAGTATGCTCTAGGATGGGCATGAAGCAAGGATAACCATTTCCCTTATCTGCAGCTTTCCCAGCCCCTTTGGGTGACGCATGGACACCTGGCAGAGGGGCCAAGGGCAGCTCCAGAATGCGTTTCCATGCAGGTGGACTGACAAATTGGAATGCTCAGGCTGTGCCAAGGATCTCAACACCTCTGAAACAGCATGCTCAGGTGGCTCTGGGGCCAAGGGCTTCACAAATGAGCCATCCCAGGCCTCCTGAAGCTCACATTGCTCCCTCAGCAGCCCTGTGCCCATCCCTTACCTTGTCGAGCAGTTCCACCAAAGGTGGCAATAACCCACAGTTGATGATCTGTTGGATCTGATGGGAAGGCCCTGCTGCAATGTTGCTGAGGGTCCATGCTGCTTCCTTCTGGATCACTGACTTGGTGTGCCTCAGCAGCCGGGGCAGGACAGTCAGGGCACCAGCACTGATGGCTTCCTGGGTCTGCTGGTCTGTGCCTGTGACCACATTCCCAATGGCACGGAGAGCTGGAGTCTAGACAGAGATTAGAGATAAGCAGAGTCCTTACCTCAAGGGATACATGACAGAAAGCCCAGCAAGATCCCTCCCTAAGTGCTTGATCCTTCACACAAGGAGAGCATTGTGGGTGATGGCTGTTTATTTACAGCCCTGTCATCCCTCATTTGCACTAAGCAGCTTTAGAGTCTCTATCCAGCCCCCAGAACAGAGCAGGGGTTTGACAAGCAGGCAGTCAGTTCCATGGGCTGAGGGGACAGCACACCTCAGCTGCCACATAGAACAAAAGCACTTGCCTCCCCTCTCCTCAGACCTTTCTACAATAAAGGACCACAGGGTGGAGATTTGGTTGTTCCCTACCATAACAGTCAAATATGGGCTGTCCATGAGTTCCACGAGCCTTGGGAGAATCCCTGTCTCCACCACAATTTGGATGCGATCATTGCAGCCATCAGTCAGGTAGGAGACAGCCCAGCAGGAGTCAGAGATGACATCCTTGTCCTCATGCTGCAGGAGGATGACAAGGACTGGCAGAATCTTCTGCACAGCATCCAAGGGAGGGCAGGGGTTCTTGTTCCTGCACAGGTTTGACAGTGTCCAGGTGATGTTCCTCAGGAACCCAACCTGAAACATAAGGCAGGTGTAAGATCCTCACTGCCCCCAGGAGCCTCCCAGTCTGTGTTATCCTGGGAAGGTTCTTACAGAGAAACAGAAGAGTGGGGAACCATTGCAGAAGGACAGAGACACCACAGAGCAGCAGCAGGAAGCTTAAAGGGCAAGTTCAGCCCTTCCACATGCATATGCAAGTCTGCCTTGCACCAGTTCCATCTTATTCCTAGCCTGAGAGAGTCAGAGCTGGAAAAGAAAGCCAAAGCTGGAAGAAATCACATTCACTTGGGTTGTCTGCTTGGCACCCCCAGCTTTGTGCATAGGCAGGGCCATAAAAGCAGTTTAGAGTGGGGTCTCATTCAGTTATACAAAGAGTTTGTTGTGTACAAGGCAGACAGTGGACTCACCCACCACCCAGTGCATTAAGAGCTGTTAAATCAAGAAAATTAAGGTTATTTACTGGAGTTGCAGGTGACACCAGAGCCAGCAAGGGAGGAATCACATCATGAGCAATAAGAGCATCCCTGTAGATAGGGCCATCCCCTGGACAGATAAAAAAGGTTGGTCACTGCATCTGCCCAAGTCACAAGACAGTCAATATCAAACAGACCGACAGGGCCAGGGCTGGGTGACCCACCAGCCACACAACACCAGGCATGTCCAGGTGGGAAGGATTTACTGGGCAGACTGGAGTGCCAGCAGGCCAACCAGGCATGGCCCATTCTGTTCTCCCTATGGTGACATTAGTGGGTTCAACCACCCCAGCAGGACAGTCTTGCCCTTGGCTTTGGCCAAAATCCTCTTGCACAGCCAACACAGGATCTTAAAGGCTGCCAGACAACACTAAGAGGATGAAGAGTTGTGGGGTTTAATAGGGGCAGTAGCTTGGAGACCAATGCTTTATCTCCCCAGCAGAATCACAGAATATTCCCCATTGGAAGGGGCCCGCAAGGGCCATCAAGTCCCCAGCTCAGTCAAGGACCTCCAAATGCCCCTCCAGGTCCTCTCACCTGCAATGTTGCCCAGGGCCCACACTGCCTGCTCGCTGATGTACATGTGTGGAGAGGAGAGCAGGGAGATGAAGGCTGGGATGGCCCCTCCCTCCACCACAGCCCTGGTGTGCTCTGAGGTGCCAGAGGCAATGTTGGTCAGTGCCCAGGCTGCCTCAAACTGTAGGGCAGCATTGTCAGCATGGCCCAGGAATTCCACCAGCCTGGGGATGATCCCCAGCTCGATGATCTGATTGATGGGGGGGTCCTTGTGCCTGGACAGAAGTCTCCTGTGAGAGAGGACACAGCACAGCCAGCCATGAGGAACCCTGCATGGTGCCACCACAGCCCATAGCCCTGTGGCCAGGCACAACCCTCAGCAGAGGGGCTGCCATACAGAGGGAAGACACAGCTAAAGATGCTGAAGCAGGAGCAGGGTGTCTGATGGAAGTAAAGCCCTGACATCCTCACAGCCATACTCACTGGGCATGGTGCTCAATAGTTCGAGCCAGTCAAGGAAGCACCAGCAGGGATGCAGCCTGTCCTGGACCCTCAGGAGACACCCCTGCTGCCAGCTAGGTGATGATAGCACCCTGTGGTCCTTTCTGTTCTGACCCTTGTGGGGACAGCCCTGCTCAGCACCGACCCTTTACAGAGCCAGACTCTCCAGTTCTTGTCCTGCCCAAGCATCTGGCACTCAGTTTCTTGTGGGATCCAACATAATTCCTGGAACAGCACAGGAAGGGGCAGCACAGCCAACCCCTTGGTTGGGTCTGGGCAGGATGGTGAGCCAAGCATGGCACAGAGGCCACAGAAAAGGCACCAGCTGAGATTCCCACTGCCAGTTTGGGTTACTAGGCTCCTTCTCCCTTTGCCATCTCCCTAGAGAGCTCCCCAAACAGGAACTTGCAGCCTTTTGCCCCCAGGTCCCAGCACAGCTCCAGCAGCTGGGCACATACCTGGTGGCCTGGGTGGCAAGCAGCTGCAGCTGGGTGTCTTCCCCATTTACAGCTTCCACGATCTCCTCCAAGGATGGCTGAACAATCTGTGTCACAGGGAATGATTCAGAGTCAGCCGGGGAGCTGGGACTCCCTCTGGTTTCATCTCAACAGTCAATCAGCTGTCTAGACCCAGCTCAGTCACCACTTCATATCTAAGCAGTGTCTATTCTTTATGCAACACAGTTTCGAGATGAGGCAGAGGAAGACAATCCACAAAAGCCTTCAAGGCAACTAATGCTTGTAATCAAGCAGTGAAAGAGTCACTGACACCATAATGGGCCTGTGAGCTCAGTAATTACCCCTGGCTGTGCAGGGAGCCAGACAGGAGCAGCTCCCAGCGAGTCAGAGCACCAGCCTGTTCTACCTGCCATCAAGGGAGGCCAGCAGGACATCATCACCATGAAAAACTGCATGGACAAAGGCCAGGCAGTCTGAAACACTCCCCAGCACTGGGCATGGAGATCAGGAACAGCACCAGCTACTTAACCCAGGCCACCCCAGCTGGAATTGATAGCAGCCCAAGGAGGGGATGATTCCTGCTGCACTGATCCGACCCAGGTGCAGGGCACCAAGCACTCACCACCTCAGCTGCTCTGTCTTGTTCTAGAGAGGGATTCTCCTTCTCCAAATTAATGGAAATGTTTCTGCGCTTCAGGATCTGCTCATCCTTCTTGGCCTTTCTCAGCTCAACACTCACCTCCACCCTCTGCCTCCGCAGGGTCTGGGGGGAAGAAGAACACCATCCCACTCATATCTGCATTGCCCCATTCCCCGGGGAGGTCACCCCTGCAGCCCTCTGCCCCACGTTTCCCACAGGAGGAGTGCAGAGCCAGCATCTCCTCACCGTGGCCTAGAGGGTGATGTAGGGGATGGGACAGAGGAAGCCTCTCCCTCGGTGCCTCCCAAGGACATGGGCTGCTGGATGAACCAGCAACCACTGGGTGTTTTTAAAAGTAGATTTTCCAAACCTGAAAGGCAAACCCTCATCGCCTCTGCTGGCTTAAATCAAGCTGACAGATCCTACACCTGACATCCCATACCAGCCCCAACTCCACAGGGATAATGGCTGTGGAGAGCTCAGCAGCCTGGGGCTGAGCCATCTCCCTTCCCCAGCCCACAGCCACACACCCAAAACTCACATCCCCCTGTGCCACCATGCTCCTTACAGCCCAGCCAGCCCCACACCACATCCCAAAAGCCCCCCAAACATCCCAGCTGAAGGTATCCAGGGCCATTCCCCTGCTCCCTCACACAGGTAGCTTTGGGGCCATGGACCTTGAGAAGCTCCTCCATCAGCTCCTGCCAACAGTGGGCTCTGCTGGGGTGCAAAATGCTGGCACAGGCAGGTGGGTACTCACAGTTTGATCCTTGCCCTTGTTCTTGAACAACTTCATGTGCCCACCGTGCTTCCTGACTGGCATCTTGGCAGAGTTGAGAGAAGTGCAGGAACCCTCACGTGCTCTTGGGGGTCAGCACACAGCAGGGTCAGGTCACAGATGCCCAGAACCATCCCCTGCCAGCCACCGAAGGGGCTGGGACCCTCCATTCCCACCAGCAGCCTGGGCCACATATTTCCACCCCACACTCCCAGCAAGGGAAACACTGGAGTTCCCCTGCCCCAAGCAGGGCTTGGTAGGATCCTCACACACTGCAGCTGAGCCACTGAACTAAATACAAGCACAAACTACCACTTAATATCAGGCTACAAAAATTACAGCTGCTGCAGTCCCAGGAGGAAGCCAGACACAGACACCCCACGGTGACAGGAACACCCCCTTCCTCCAGCCCTGATCCTGAGGCTTTTACATTCACTTTAACACACAACCCAAACCTGGCAAAGCCTCTTGCCTCCAAAAGGAGCAGCTCAAGGTCTGATTTAAGGACACACAGCCACATCCAAGCCTCTCACTCAACCACAGAGCCCAACCTGGCTTCCTCCACTGCACCTCAACTAGGAAAGGCCCACGGTCACATGCAGGGACACAAAATGACGAAATTCAGCTGATAAAAAGAGTTCTGGAAATCGAGAAACTAGTACAGGCTGCCAGGGGAACATCATGAAATAGAGACAGGTCAAAATAATTTCTAAGCACCTCCTAGCAAAAGCCAGAGATATACACACAAATAGACCAAGATATGGCTTTCAGACAGCTTTTGTCAGAAAAACAAGGCTTCCAGCCAGCATTAAGGGAGATATTTTCAGAGCAGACACCATCATGGGACCCCTAAACCCAGGCTGTGCATCAACACACACACAGGGGCTGATCCCACACAGATGGTGCCTCCTCTCCTCCCCTGCAGGCTTACAGCCAACACCTGCAGCTCAAAGCAGCTTCCAAGGACTCCCTCACACCACCCTTTTAAGTTCAAGGTTTTGGTGTTTTTCTCATTCTCTCTCCCTGTTTCCTGGCCCAGTAAGCAAGGCCAGGCACCAGCAGCATCAGCTCTTATCCCATGCATCCAGCTGCAAACCTCCTCCAGCTTCCAGAAGGGCCAGGCTGAGGCACCCTTTGGCTCAACACCATCCCCATGGCCTTAATCCCAACACCAAACATCAAGATCTGCTCCAGCCTCCCCACCTCTGGTCCCCCCAACAGAGCCAAACACCCCAGAAAGCCTCTTCTTTTGGGGGAAGCTTTCTCCACCCCATCCCAGCAGAAGGGCACCACATCCCACCCACTGATCCCAGCCAAGCCCCAAAAAGCCAGGAACCTCACAATGGGGTATAAGAAAATAAACAACCACCCAGCATCCCCAAAGGAGGGAAAAAAAAAACCACTTACTGTACTGCAACTCTGCCTCATACCTCACTACCCTCAACTGCCTCTTTTATCCCCACCATGGGACCACACACCCCCAGTTCCCCTCCACAATTGGCTCTTCCCAGGACAGCCCCCATTATCTACACCTGCTGCCTCACCTGGATGCACCTGGAGGAGGAATGCTGGTGCCTGTCTTATTGTCTGGGCCACCACTCAACCCCCAGATCTCCTCCCTACATTGATGTTTTGCCAGCTTTGACCTTGCTTTTGGCCAAGACACTTTGTGTGTGATGCCAGCCTGTGCCTGTACAGTGTCCTGGGCTGTGGGGGACAGTCTGGGTTCTGCCACCCCATGCCTGGCAGCCTGGGGTGCCCCTTGTTTTGTCTGGGTAGCTTGTGAGTGGTGCTGCAGGCCAGGAGAGCACCTCCTCCAGTCACAGGGGCCCAGGACCAGGGAGCCAGGCAGAATCAGCTGCACAGAGGTTCCAAGTGAGCCAAGACAGGATTAAGCAACTTGGAGCATCATCAGGCACTGAGCTGCTGGCTGGCACAGCAGGGAGGTGGCAAGGAGAGAAACCCAGCAGGAGCCCATTATCCCCATGAGTCCTTTTGGCCAGGAGCTGCTGGGCAGCTCACAAAGTGCTGTGTTCTGTGCCCATGACAGTCTCCATCAGTCAGGAGATATTTCCATTTATGGAGCCTTTGCCCCAGTCCTGCTCTTGCTGCTGGGGCCAACAGGGACAGCAGCCCCCTGACCCCCAGATAACCACTGCAGCAGGGCTTGGCTGCAGCACTCTGGGCACTTCTGGGGACTCTGAGGTGCTGAAGATTTCCTGGCTTGGCACCCCCTCCACACCACCACCCTTTTAGCAAAGCCTCATAAAGCCCTCTTGGTGTGTGCAGGGGTGCCAGTCTGCTCCAGCTGATGGGGAAGGGAGGAGCAAGTGTTTCCCAAATGGGTAGGGAAAACAGTCATTAAAATATTTAATTAAAACCTGACTTTAAACCACTTGACATCTTTTTCTATGAGGGAGATGGGGAACAAAGACACTCAGAGCTGCAGGAAGGTGATGCTGGGATGCAGATGGGAACTGCACCCTCCACACCCCTGGAGGGGGTGTGCACTTTCCAGCTGTGCACACAGAACCATTCCAATCCAAATTACAGGAATTCAGGGAACAACTAGTATTGCCCAGCATGGAAATATCTATGGAGACACACTGTGCAATATCCTGGCTGCTCAAAGTCCTGGATTCAAGTCCTGGTGCCACACCAATTCTGCATTTCAAAGCAAATAAAATGAGTTGTACACAGCCTTATGTGGAAGGTAATAGGAAAGGTTTGAGGAAAGACCTTCAGATAAATCTGTTGTTTGTAGGCATTAAAAAGCCAGTTGTGCTAATCCTGGCTGCTGTGATTTTAAGCTTCAAGTGCCACTGGTTGCATTATCTTGTTTCTTGGCTGCTTGAGACAGGAAAATTACATTTCAATTGCTTTTTAATTCAACTTAATCTGGTGCAAAAGTTAGCGTGCACCCTCTAATTCTGTTTTCTGAGCGGTTTGTTTCCACTAATTCCTAATCAGCCAACACGAAATCAAAACAGGCCTGGCTCAAGCTGAAATAGATGAGTCCTCACAACCTTGCCAAGCAATTTAATTAAATTGGCTGAAAATCACACCCCAAGGTAAGTGGGGGCAACCTCCTGCACAGGCCAGCCCCCAGCTTTTGGTCCCCTGCCTGGAGAGCTCTCGCCCAAGGTGCTGCAGGATGTGAATGTGAAACAAGGCTGGGAGAGGTTTGTGGTTGTCCCAGGCTGCTCTTTTTCTCCCTGCTCCTTCCATTCCCTCTCCACCTGCCAAGCACAATCAGCCCCATCCTCTTCAGTTCCCTGTCACCTTCAGCACACAGAGGAAGGATGGGGAGAGAAAAACACGTGTAATGGATGAACATCCCTCTCCTTGTCCTTCACTCTGGTCCCTGATGTCATGAGAGGTGGCACTGCCACACAGTCGACCCCAGGAGCAGGCTGAGGATGAGGGGGGTGGATTTGAACCTGTGCTGAGGACACAGAGAGATCAATATTTTTCAAATGGGGAAGGGAACAACCACTGGAGGAAAGAAAAGTTTTGGGTTTCAGCATAATAAGAAGGTATCACAGCTAATGGAGAGGAAAGGAGATAAACCCCTAAATCTACATGACAGTGTCCCCTGAGCTCAGCTTTGTGTGCTCAAGCTGAAAATCCACATTGTGACAGGTATGAGAAGCTGTGGTTCCAGTGCAGGGTTTTTTTTGAGGCTGTTCTCCCCCACCCTGCCACCCTTCACCCCACACTGCACCTCAGTGAGACTCTGACTGGGGTAGACTTGAAAACACTCATTTTAAGCCCTGAGAGAAAAGCCCTGATTTCCTCTCCTGTGTTTTTCATGTTTCTTGCATGGATTTACCTTCACTGCATGTGGATAAAGGTACTGGTCAGGGTTCTGTCAGCATGTGGCATCTCTGTGGCGGGGAGAGACGAGGCAGGAACACCCTGTGGTCCATCCTGGGGTGCTGCACAGGCACAGCAGCTGGTTGGAGTAACCCCTTTGTGAGAGGAGAGCCTCAGCTGGATGGAGGGAAGCAGAGGAGGGGTCCCTGCCCACCCCTGAATGCTGCTCTCACACAATGTCCTCTCTGCCAGCAACAGTGCACTTCCATCAAATGAACATCAACAAACTAATTTTACTTATTAGGTACACTAACACCAAGGAGATATCCATGTGGGTTCCTGAAACAGCTGATGATGTAACTGCTGGTGGTCTATAAAATCATGATGTATCCTGACTGGAAGGGACCCACAAGGGTCAGAGTCCAGCTCCTGGCCCTGCCCAGGACACCCCAACAATCCCACCCTGTACCTGGGAGCTCTGTCCAAATGCTCCTGGAGCTCTGGCAGCCTTGGGGCTGTGCCCATACCCTGGGGAGCATGTTCAATGCCCCAGCACCCTCTGGGGAAAGAACCTTTCTTTGATATCCAGCCTAAATCTCCCTGACACAGCTTCATGCCTTCATGGATGTGCAGCATTCCTGAGTGTGGCAGGGATGGAGCCTGGAAATTCCTCCTTGTTCAGTTGGGATCCATCCTCCTGGCACACAGTTTGTGAGGGAGGCCGTGCTAACTCCACAGGCTGCACTGGTCCCTCCTGGGCTGGCAGAGGTTGGGCAGCTTGTGACCTCCCCAGCAGCACCACCAGCTTCTTGTCAGAGCTATTGTTGGTGCAGCCACCTCGGGCGGGAGCCGGGATCGGAGCTGCTTTGTGCCAGGCACGGAACAGGCACGGAACAATGACAGCCCCCATCTGCTGCAGTCTGTCTAATCAGGACATGCAGAAGGTGGGAGAAGGGATTTATTGTTATCTCTGCCTTACTGCTGAGCCAGAGGCAAAGCCGGGCACTGCAGCTGGATTTTCTGAGGCTCAAGGTTCAGTTTGTGGTTTCCTTTAATTTAGTGGAGCTGCCTCGAAAATGTGGTCCTGCTTTTCTGCCCCTGTTCCTCTGCAGCTAGGGAGCCATGGGCATGTGTCAGTTCAGAGAGTCATGAAATTGTTTGGGTTGGAAAGACCCTAAAGTTCATCTCATTCCAATTCTCTGCAGGGATACCTTCCACTATCCCAGGTTGCTCCAAGCCCCATCCAACCTTGCCTTGGACACTTCCAGGAATCCAGGCATAGTCACAGCCTCTCTGGGCACCTCTGCCAGGACCTCAGAACCCTCACAGGGAAAAATTCCTTCCCAATATCCTATCCAACTCTGCCCTCTGGCACTGGAAAGCCATTCCCTGTGTCCTGTCTGTCCATCCTCTGTCCAAAGTCCTTCTCCAGCTCTTTGGAGCCCCTTTAGGCACTGGAAGGGCCTTTAAGGTCCCTCCCTCCAGGGTCTTATCTTCTCCAGGCTGAACAGCTCTGTCAGCCCATTTCTATGGGAGAGAAAAGAAGGAGGAAAAAGAGGAGGAGAAAGTATGATTTTCCATAGTTTCAGTTGAAACAGATCCTGCTGTGGCTGTGGGATTCTGTGGTGCTTTTCAAGGCAAAGTGTTCTTCAGGTCCTCTTCCCAGCCAAGAAATGGGATCATACCAAAAAGTAAATTAATCATATTGACATTGTACAGAAGAGATTTATATTTATTGATAAAGAGGCCTGGGAGAGTTGGGAATTCCCTGTGAATCAAGGGAAAGAGGATTTGTGTTCAGGAAGACAGCTTGTGGATAACACCAACTGATTGTGCCATCAGCTGGGCTGGGAGCTCCTGCTGAGCTATCAGAGCTTTGGGAAGGAGAACAGCAGCAGGGTTGTGTGAGTTGTGGGAGCTCATTCCCACTTTCCAAAGGCAGCTGTTTGTGTCCATTTGGCTCCACTGTAAGTGGATGCCCCAGAAAACCAGGGCAGCCCTGGAGCGCCTGTAACTCCACACCAGGCTGAACGTGAAGGAACTAATTTTAACTTCTGAGCATCCTCCTTTCTGCCAGCCACGGAGGGATTAGTGTAACAGTTTTTGAAATTATTTAAAAATAACATCAGACTTAATCAGTTATTTATTAAATCCATTATCCTCTGTCAGTTATGGGACACTGATTCAGCTGCAGAAACTATAATCACCTATGGCCAAAATCTTACCTTTTTTTTTTTTTTCCTTAGCAGGGCCCAGCAATAATTATTCCTTTAGTTCCTGACTCTGTAACTCAAGGAGCTGAAACAGAGAAATCTATAGTGCTTTTGGGGATGAGGCACAACGGAGTGATGAAGAAACCTTGGCATTAATCAAAAACCCACATAATTTTGTATAAATCATGCATAGCCTTGCTCCACAGCACCTACCACGAGAAAGGCTAAGGTGCTCTCTAAAGGAGTGGAGTGCCTTGTAAATCATGCAGGAAAGAGAAACTCCATGAAAACACCAGGAAATCCATATAAATCACGGGGTCTTGAGCCTCTGGATGCCTCTTTGCTGTCAGGGACTCCATGTGCAGCTTAATTAGAGGAGGGGATGAGCTTTCCTGCTGCCAGACACTGCTCATCTTGCTCCACTGCCTCTGATTATCCCAGCTGAGGACAGCATTTCAAGAGAAATTAGTGTCTTTGTTTAAAATGTGTATTTAGGGCTTCCCTTTGAAAGCCATGCTTAGGAAATGCTAAAAAGAGGATTGGACATGCATATTTTACCTGATCCAAGGGCTGCAGGTAATTTTTGCTAAGCCCAGAGTTGATGTTCTTCTCTGTTGCAAATGCTTCACATCTCACACAAGCTGATTTAGGAATGAGCTTTTGGGGAACTCCCCTGGTAATTCCATCTCCTTGCGCCACCTCCTTCCTGCCACTTCACTGCTCCAAGGCCTGTCCTGAAAATGTGACAGCGTAACAAATTGTAAAATTGTAAAAATGTAAACCAAACTGCAGGACCCACTGGTGTCCTGGGCTGATCCCACAGCGTGGGCAGCAGGGAGGGGAATTTTGCACCTCAGCTCCACTTTCTGAGACCCTGCTTGGGACAGTACTTCCAGCTCTGGGGTGTCCCCCATCACAAGGATGAGGAGTTGCTGGAGTGAGCCCAGAGGATGCCACAGAGATGCTCCAAGGGCTGCTCTGGAGCCAGGCTGGGAAAGCTGGGGGTATTCACCTGGAAAGGAGGAGACTCCAGGGAGAGCTGAGAGCCCCTTCCAGCGCCTAAAAGGGCTCCAAGAGAGCTGGAGAGGGACTTTGGACAGAGGATGGACAGACAGGACACAGGGAATGGCTTTCCAGTGCCAGAGGACAGGGTTGGATGGGAAATTGGGAAGGAATTTTTCTCTGTGAGAGTGGAGAGGCCCTGGCACAGGGTGCCCAGAGAAGCTGTGGCTGTCCCTGGGTCCCTGGAAGTGTTCAAAGCCAGGTTGGACGGGGCTTGGAGCAACCTGGGATAGTGGAAAGTGTCCCTGCCCATGGCAGGGGGTTGAATGAGATGAGTTTTAGGTGTCCTTCCAGCCAAGCCATTCCATGATTCTCTGATTCTTTAATTCCTTGCATTCAGTGCTACAACTGAAAATGTGACACTGAAAAGTTGGATACAGGAAGACAGACTTGAACTTTGCTTTCCTGTGTGTAGCCTTCCCTGAAGCTTTTGATCACAATGCACAGACTGTCTCCTGCAGGATCTGTGACTCACTGAGCACCTGGTGGGATTTGAAAGGCCTTGGCATTGTCCCCATCAGACCCTCTGTGTCCCACGAGCACCGATCTGACCTTGTTTGGTTAGAGCCTGGTCGTGTCTCTGTAGAGACAACATCCCTGCAGCCCTCACAGGAATACACTGATCCTCCCCAAGCAAGCACAGACAACAGCTGAGAATGAGGTTGCAGCTTTCATTATTTTCTAAATGACTAATAAATGCAAAAACTTCTTGCAGTCTCCTGAGGCAGATCTTTATATAACCCTGTGATCCTTCAGCAGGGCTTTCTGGTCCGGATTCCATTCCTCCCCAAACCACCAGAGATCAGTTTGCTTCTGCTGCTGAAGTACAGCCCCAAAGTGGAGCATCCAAGCTGAGCTCCTTGTTATTCCAAAGCTTGCCACAACAGCACAAAGGCTGAGGCTCTATAACAAGCAGTCATAAATGGTTTTGCACTCCCTGTTCCTCACCTTGTCCTCCTCCATTTATACCCTCCTTCTTTTCAATTGGGAATGTCACTATGGACACCTGGGGTGCTGTGTTTATCCTGGGATCCCTGGCAGCACTGAGGAAGAAACAAGAGCCTTTTTATGTGTGGTCTGTATTGGACAGGTGGAATGCAGATAAGATACGTGTAGGAAATAGGAAATTCTTCCCCATGAGGGTGGGGAGGCCCTGGCACAGGGTGCCCAGAGAAGCTGTGGCTGCCCCATCCCTGGAAGTGTCCAAGGCCAGGCTGGACAGGATTTGGAGCAACCTGGGACAGTGTAAACTCTCTCTGTCCATGGCAGGGGTGGAACAAGATGAGCTTTGAGGTCCCTCAAACCCAAACCATTCTGGGATTCTACATGGGCTGACCTGCCTTTAAGTGAAGGCCATTTTCCATCCTGAAACAGAGTTATGTTCCACATCTCTTCAGGCAAGAGGGTTGGACTTTCAGTCTCACTTTAACATGATGAAGGAATCTGTGTCAGGGCAAGAGACTGAGCCCACACCAAAGGCAAACATCCTGCTTAGCAGACAACTCCCTCCACAGCCGTGGTCTGCAGGCCTTGCTGTGCACTGCTATCGGGACACGTCATTCCACAATCTCTCCTCTGTCCTCTGAGGGAACCTTCCAACCCCCTTCCCAGATAATGTAATCATAAGGGGACATGGCTGGGGGAAGCAGCTGCAGCCCAACCCAGGCTGTCCCAGCAGGTTTTGAGTGTGGTGATGTGCTGGAGCAGAGCGTGGCCAGTGAGACACAGGACAGGGCTGTGGACACGGCTACAACACGTCATTAAACTCAGCAAGAGGCACCCTTGGGAGCAGAAAGCAGCTTGGCTGAGTCCTGGCCCTTGCTGATGTGTCTGTGAGCTGAGTGGGTCAGCAGCTGTTTCGGGTTTACCATTCTGCCCTGGATCACTGTGTGGAGAGATCCAATAGCTGCCTTTGCAGCTCTCTCCTCCTGTGTGGTTAAAACATTTATTTTTCCGAGTTACACATGAGCAAACAGGTCAGAACCCGTTACTTATTTGATGCATTTCACATCCTTCTCTAAGATGTTGGGTTGAGAACTGTTTACAATCTCTGTTCACAGATTCAAGGTTTGAAATAATTACCTAAAAAAGCCCAGAAAATATGACTTGCTCCAGAGAGATTCCTGAGGAGTTAATCACAGTTCTCAGCATTCAGGACTCTGGCTGGCCATGGTTTCTGTGGTATTATTCTGCTCCTGACGGGACATGCTGAGTTCCTAGAATCAGATTTTCAGGGTGAATAGTCAGTTACAAATTCAAGAGGTGGGTGTAACATGAACTCTCTAATTTTCACCTCAAAGCAGTTGTTTATCGGAATCTTCCTGCTTGGAAACTCAATCCCAAACGTGTTCACCCACAACACCCACAATGGCAATCCTGGCAGGGTAACCACATCCCAAACGCTCCAGCTGAGGCAAATATAGCAGAGAAATACTTAGGGCTGATACAGGAGCTGTTGTCTTTCATGTCTTTCAGGGCAGCTCATACCCACTGAGTGACTGAAACATGCAGGATGCTAGCACAACAACAGCTTTATCCTCCCTGCTTCCAGCAAACACACTGGGTTTATTCATCATAAACATGGGATACAGAAATTATTTTAAAATGAAACTTCAGTTCCATCACCAGTGTGGCTGCTCCTGCCAAGGGTTCAGCCTGAGGTTTGCCTGCCAAAGATCAGGTCTGATGAAATCTGCTATTTCACCTTGGCAAGAAAATGCAGCCAAGGATGTGACTTTGCACGGAAGTTAATTTAGATGATCTTTCTATTTCAGCCTCTTGTCCCCTACCCCCCAGCAGCTCAGTTTATAGAACACCCTACAAGACAAGACAAGAAGAAATGGCCACAAAACAAAGCATTATTTGAGGTCTCCTGAGGGGTTAAAGCTTCTCAATCCGGCTCCCAGCATTGCCACCCCCCTGGACTTACAGATAAGGAATGTGTTGTTCAGGCCCTTTAGACAGCTCTGAAAGAGCCTGGCCAGCCCTTGCAAACACACAGCTTCCAGGACCTTGGGTTTAACCTGCTGTGTGTGGTGGCTGGGAAGAGGTGGGCCATGTGGCAGCAGTGGGAGGCAGAGAGAGAAAAGGATGGTGCCTGCAGGTGTGTGTGGAGCCCATCTGCATTTATAGTCACTGTTTTATATCAGGTAGACTTGAATTCACAGGTATTTTAATCGTAAGTTTATTAAATTCCACATGATCTTGAGGAAATGAAATCTCAGAGTTTTAACTAGCCCCCAGCTGTTGGCATGGCCTTACCCCTTCCTTGACTTTTGGGTTTACGTTTACACCTAAGCTTTTAAAAAGATCACTCCTTCTGACTTCAGACTGAAAGATCAGAACAAAGTAGACTTTTTGTAGGTAGATTGTCTGCCAAAAAATGGGCTGACACTGGATGCACAACTCTGAAAGTGTAAGTTGTCTTCATGTCCTGCCTCAGTTTCCCCAGCTGTGAAAGGATGAGGCATAAAGAATTTAAAGTTCCTGAAGAGTCTAAGCCCTGCACCCAAGAAACTCTGTTTGATGCAAGTATGAGCTGTTTTGGGCTGTACACTTATTTTCTGTAGGCATTTGGTTTAACATTTCATTGATCTGTTCCTGGGACCACCTTAGTCCCTGTGTTTCAGGGAGGTGATGGATTAAGTG